TGCTTTCATTGGACTAACTTCTACCACCTTTTGTTATGACTAATAACTGTACATATGAAACATGCCTTCCAGGTAATTTCTTTCGAATACGCAGTGCTTTTGCATTTGGGGCTAAACAGCTGGCAAAGCTACTTGATTGTCCAAAGGAAGACTTGATTTTTGAAGTCAATCAGTTTTTTATGAATACTTGGGATAGACATGGAAGTGGGCAAAGACCTGATGCTCCTAACAATGACTTATGGCGTTTGAGGTTATCTAACAAGGACCAGCTACAAGGGTCTGAGAATCTCAGGAACAATAGTAAAAAATATGATGATACTTCTAGTCGTGAATTTGAAGTCGGAGGGTATTGTGGTTCACAAAATGGCCCATCTCAGCAAAGTAATTTATCCATGGAAAGCTCAATTAAGAGCAATGATATCTCTACAGTATCACGAACTCATAAGAATTTTGGCAACCAAACTAATTCAAGGACCTCTGAGCAGGTCAGAAGGGAAAGTAATTCTAATCAAGGTGCTCATGTGGATAAGGATCAGAGAAATTTTCATCTTGAGAACCCACTGACTGATGGTCAGGGAAGGTTTATATTTGCAAGAACACGTTCAAGCCCTGAGCTGACTGACTCATTTGGTGAAGTTTCTTCACATGGAAGGCGTGCAAGGGGTCCAGAAATTGGCAAGGGCCAAAATTTCTCTGCCAAGTTGGAGAATAGTCATAGGAAGAATTTTGAAACTGAGATGACTGCAGGCCATGGTGTCAGAATTGATGATTCATCCCCTAGGCACATCTCATCCCATCAAGCTCTTGATGCTGCTGATGATTCAAACAGTGGTTCAAATAGTTACCATGAAGAATCAGCTTCAGGGGTCGTGGGTGAAGAGTTTGCATTTGTTGCAGGTGCAGGAGGGCCAATGATGCATCAGGAGGAGCAAGATCTTTTGAACATGATGCCTTCTTCTACAGCTCATGGTTTCAGTGGCCAGGCTCATGTTCCAATGAATTTAGCTTCAGGCCACCTGCCACTTCCATTTTCACCTTCTGTTGTCACTTCAATGGGATATGCTCACCGAAATATGGGCAACGTTCCCTTGATTGAGGCTCCTTGGGGCTCAAATATTCAATTTCCTCAAGGCTTAGTCCCTACGATGACTCCTTATTTCCCTGGCACTGGTATGACCTCAAATCCTGAAGAGCCAACTGAAAGTAGTACTGAGAATTTCAGTTCTATGGAAATGAACCCAGAGGAACTTGATAATGAATTCTGGCATGAGCAGGAAAGGGGTTCAACTACTGGGGTTGAAGTTGATAATGGAAATATTGAAATGCTTCCTGATGATAAGCAGCTGTCTACTTCAGGTGGTTATAACTTTGTCCCACCATCCCGGGTAGGAAATTCTAGTGATTTTCCCGGAATTCAGCCAAAGTTTATTAGAGAAAATAGAGGATCAATGCGAGAAGAGCATGCTGATACTGTTCAGTATCAAGATAGCCGGGGAAATGAGGTTTATTTTGATGATAGAACGACAAATTTTAGAGTGCCTGGTGGAGCTTCAAACTTCAGGAGTAAAAGCTCATCTGAAAGCCCCTGGGAAGGACTATCTGCAAAATCCTCAAAATCAACAAGGGAAAAGAGAGGTAGGAAAAATTCCCCCTCAGCACCATCAGCTGTTTACACAAAGGGTAAGAACGTGCCAGAAATTTCATCTAATCCAGTGGATGTGGAAAATAGAGAGTGGGCTTCCCTGTCAACTGTGGCATCTGATATGTTAGAAAGAGGTACTGGGCCCTCCACTGCTACTCCCCTGCATCTTCCAAGGCATCTACCTGGATTTGAATCAGCTCAGACAAGTGGATCAGATTCTCTTATACCCTTAACTCCAGTGCTTCTAGGCCCTAATTCTCGCCAAAGATCCATTGATAATTCAGGGGTTGTTCCATTTGCATTCTATCCTACGGGGCCACCAGTCCCCTTTGTCATGTTTCCAGTATATAATGTTCCAGGTGAGTCGGGAACCTCTGACACATCAGTAAGCAATTTCAATGGGGACGAAGGGATGGATAGCATTGATTCTGGTCAGAATTTTGTTTCTTCAGAGGGATATGACCAGCCAGAGGGTCAAGCCCTTCTAATTCCCTGAGAAGGGCTACTGTTGAATCATCAGAGCACAAGTCTGACATTCTTAATAGTGATTTTGCTAGCCACTGGCAAAATTTGCAATACGGGCGGTTCTGTCAAAACCCACGCAATCCTCCTCCAATGGTCTGTCCTTCCCCTGTTATGGTGCCTCCTGTTTATTTGCAGGGCCGTTTTCCTTGGGATGGTCCGGGAAGACCTCTTTCAGCAAACATGAACCTTTTCACTCAGCTTATGAACTATGGGCCACGTATAGTTCCTGTTGCTCCTGTCCAGTCAGTTTCCAATAGACCTACCAATGTATACCAACCTTTTGTAGATGAGATGCCATGCTATCGAAGTGGGACTGGAACCTACTTGCCTAATCCTGTAAGATAAAATTCTTGGAAATTTGGTACTTTACTCTGCCGTGTCCTTTTGTTTCTATCAACATTAGCATTGGATCACATTCAGCTAAGCTCTTGTTTATAAGGGAGGGCTTTCCAATCATCGGATCCAAAATAGAATCTTCTTACTTGGCCATGTTTGCCTTGCAGGTTTTGTGTGTTGGAAAATGATAATGAGGGTAATGGAAAGCGCCTATATTTTTTTTGTATTTATTAACGTTTTACTGAATACTTTTGATCGGAACTCACTCAATTTCCCCCCCCAATGTTTTCGTTCATGGCTGAGCAACTGGAGGCGAACAAAATTGGTGTTGGCTCTCCATTTGTCTGCTTGTAGTGATTTTTTATGTGTGATACTGCTTCAGCCAATGATTACTTGCATTTCTAGATTGCTTTTAGTAACCACAGCTATATAACTTGTAGAGAAGTAGTTGTTTTGAATTCTAGTTGGCCGCAGTGAGCTCCATATCATTTACTTTTTTAAGAAATATTGATTGTTTTTGTTAGTATTTTACCTTATTTTCTTAATTGCTGCAGAAGGTTTCTGTTCGGGATCGACATTCTACAAATACCAGAAGGGGAAACTATAACCATGATAGAAGTGACCATCATGGTGATAGAGAGGGAAACTGGAATATGAACTCAAAGTTGAGGGGAAGTGTTCGTAGTCATAATCGCAACCAAACTGAGAAGCCCAGTTCAAAACCAGAATGGTTGACAACAAGTGAGAGCCGAGCAGAAAGGCCGTGGAGTTCACACAGACATGACTCTTTCATTTCTTACCAGACTCAGAATGGGCCCATGCGCTCAAATTCAGCACAGAACGGTCCTTCCAATTTGGCGTATGGGATGTATCCTTTGCCAGCCATGAACCCTGGTGGAGTCTCGTCAAATGGACCAACGATACCTTCTGTTGTAATGTTCTATCCTTATGATCATAATGCTCGCTACAGTCCACCAGACCAGCTCGAGTTTGGGTCTTTGGGACCTATGGGTTTCTCAGGTGTCAATGAATTATCACAGTTGAACGAGGGAAGTCGATCTGGTGGGGCACATGAGGAGCAAGGTTTCATAGTAGTTCTGCTCAGTGATCGCCAGATCAGCCCTCTTCACCCCACCTCCCAAGGTAGTCCTCCCGTGCCTTCCAGTAGTGAGACATACGTTATGGGTCTGACGATCAGGGTTCTGGTGTACATTTTGGAATTTATTGCAGTGTTGGGCCCGTGTTTAGATAAAGGAGTCTTGCTAGTTCTCATATTTCAGAACTTGTACTACTCTAGGATGTTTCGCTTTATTCTAAACTGAGAGCTTTGATTCATTTGCCAGGTGAGTGGCTAGGAGTAATTATCAGTTTAGAAAGAGGATTTTACACGTCTTGCATATATCAAGACCAGGAAAGGTTTCCAGCGGGGTAAAACTAGAACGGGAAAACGCCAATCTTTCTAGGGATTGTTTACACCCCACTCAGAATTTTTTCACACGATCATCAGTTGATATTTCGTCTGAAGGACCCTTTCTTACGTGCCCTGGCTCGTGTGTACATGTACAACTGATAAGTGATAACCCCACTTCATTTGCATCGATGCATCCAATACCTTCGGTAAGGACGAAGATGGGGGGTCAGAGCATACCGGGTTATTCGTTTCTGGCCGAAGCTTTGGACACAAATTATAGTCCAACCACAGCAGATGATGATTTAGGTTCAGAATTTAGAAATTTTTACCGTTACAGATTTCCCTTCACACAATGTTGTAGGATTTTGTTGAAGAATATGCAGTAAATCTCTGTTGAATTTTTGAACAACTTTACAGTGGAGCAATAACATTGTTGAAAAGATGATGTTAGATGTCATCCTTCTCTATCTTCTCTCTGCACCCTCGCTTGTCCCATTTAAGATTTCGCGTTTTCTTTACGGTTGGAAGAATCAGGGATCTGAATCCCTTTTGGTAGGTTACAGCAGGTTCAATGTTAGTTTAAACTTCTGAACTTTGGCCGTGTTGGGGTGAATTATGTTGAATTGTTAACCAAGAAGCTGACATGTTTAAATAGTTAGCCAGAAGTTCCAAGCTAAACAGGAAAATGTACTCAGAATCCCAGATGAATTGGATTCATTGAAAAAGTACGCTTGTTCCGGTACTCCACAACTTTTTCTCTGTTCTCCAATTATTATTCAACTTCTCAATATTCTTGTCTTTTTCAATTTATTTCTTTTGTCAATTTACTTAATAATTAGCCAGCTTCAAATTGCCTTTTCGGTCTAAGTTATTAACTTATTATCAAGAAAAATAAAATAAAATTCATAGTAAACAACTACATTCATTGATCGAATTCGTTGAAAACGTGTCTCCACATTTCATTAAAAAGATTTGTGAGATACTATCACCAATTCTAATTATAAAACCTTATTCGTAGTTTACAAACAAAATCTTATAATTAGAATCGAAAATACTATTAAATTAAATTGAGAGGTTGGCAAAAGCAAAAAAAAAAAAAAAAATGATAAAAACGTGGAAAACTTGCATTCTTTCCACAACGAAAACAAATGACCTCAAATTCGGACGATTAACGGGAGCAAGCATATAGTACCAAGGGGTGATTGCTTGACCTCCAATCCAAAAGGGTAGCAAGGAGGCCTGAGAATGCATCTTCAAAGCAAAAGTACTCATCTGTTATCCCAAAAAAAAAAACACATCAAGAAATCACATGGAGCGTCACAGTATAACCTATTTGGATCGTAAACCAGGTACATTTCTGAGGCCCATCTTGCCAAGGACCAGCTTTGGAATAGCTGGAGGGTTATCAAGGCCCATGCTTCTACTGAATTCATTTGCCAGCTCCACTAGCCTATACTTGTCTTTCCCCACTTTCTTGTTGGAATTATAGTAACCAAGCCAGGCCTGATATGCTGCTTCTTTGTTCTTCATCTCCACGTGTGATAGGGCCCTTTCCACCTGTAACAGCATAATCTTGGTTTAGCTTCATATTCATTCTATTCATATACCTGCCAAAGCATCAGAATACGCGAGAATTTGTCTCCGTTGTGCATCCGTATACCTTTTTCTTTGTGTCAGGATCAATTGAAGGCACTGGAGCTTTTGTAATAGGCAAATCCTTTACGGTAGATAAAAAGAATTCTTCCCAAGGACCTAATAACAATATGCCTTGCCCTTCTTTACCCTTCCGCCCTGTTCGACCCAGTCGGTGGATATACTGTTCTCTAACAGCTGGCAAACCCAACTGTCCATTTAACAAATAGAGTAAAGCAGGGTGTCGAAGCAGTAATTTCCATCTTATGTAGTAAATAAATAACAGCTATTTTTTTTTACCAAAAATAACAGCTATGCACATAAAATAAATCAGAAAATTCCTGATGCTAAAATGATGTCCAATGCTTGAGGAAAGGAGTTCTTCTATAACCTGTATAACCAGAGTGACATCTGGATAATCAACTCCGCGGGCAGATACATCAGAAGTCACAAGGATTAGGCCCTTTGACTTCCGAAACTCCTCAGAGACCCTGGTCCTATAGCTCTGAGGCTTTCTTGAATGAATCTCTCTCACATTCAAGTTTAACTCACCAAGAAGGTCAGCAACAAGTCTTGTGACCATGGCAGTTGTGCAGAAAACAAGAACCTAATAAACAATAGCAAAGGTTACATATCCTCACAAACATACGTGCCTTGTCAAATGTGAGAGTTTTCAAATCCTAGGCCACAACATCCTAAACTCGACATATGATTCACTAGTTTATAATCGTGCTGTGTCTAGACAGTAAAGGACAAAACATTTTCAACACAGCTGGCATTACGTTTAAGATTAGAAAGCGCACCTTATAGTCAATATCATCAGCAATATGCTCCTTTAGAAGAACGTAGAGCAAGGAGAAATGTTTGTCTAATGGTGCAACTAAATGCATCTGTTGAACCTGAAAAGATCCACATCCCACATAAACAGATGCATAAGAAAACATATATTGGTAAGCACATTCGCACGTATGGGCGCATTAGTGCTTTATTAGCATTGAATTAAAAACAATTACCTGTGAATGTGTCTCCTCAGTACCCTCTTCAACTGTATTGATAAATTCATGATCCCTTCTCAATGCAATATGGCAGACTTGGCGGACCTTCACACCCAAAAAAAAAAAACCCTCTTAAAATAAGCTCAGTCCCCCAACAAATTTCTAAAGTTTGAAGCATACTTCAGGGGGAAAAAACTAACCTCTTCTGGAACGGTGGCAGAAAACATAAGAGTCTGTCGTTGTTTAGGAACTGCAGCAATTATCTTCTCAATGTCTTTGCGAAATCCCATATCTAATAGATGATCAGCTTCATCAAGCACAAGGACTTTCACACCCATCAACCGAGTTGCAAAGCCTGCTGTATTCTCAATATGGTCCCTAAGTCTTCCGGGAGTAGCAACAAGGATCTGTACAGTTTAGGAACGCAAACTACGATAAAATACAGTCTGACAAAATAGTTTGCTAATAGAAGATTACTCTCCAGAGCGGTCAATAAACAACATAATCACCATGCCTTTACTGTTTGAACTCATTATCTAGAGGCTGGATCCCTATTATAACTGATTTATTACAGTGCTGCTGTTTGCAGCGTAGAAAGATGTTTCTAGAGTCACCTTTTAACTATAAAATCTCATTTTACAACGTGAAATGGCTGCAGCAGATGAGTCTCAATATAAGGGCAATAAGTAGTTCACAATCCCCATGTCATGCATTCCTCTCACACAGGTTAAAGTCTTCCTGGCTGGTTAGTAATGCAGCAAAAATTAAGAACCCTCTTCTTTGTTTGATTGTCATCGTTATACAAGGTCTATGCTGAAAAGAAATAAAGTTATTATGGCAATTTAAAATGGATTTACCTGGCAAGGGTTAGCTTGCATGCGTTTCTGTTCCAAAGCAAGTCTTGTCCCTCCAATCACAACTTGGACACCAATGGAAGGGTGGTACTTAAGTAGTTTAGTGGCTTCTGCAGCAGCTTGACTTGCAAGCTCTCGAGTTGGGCATATGACAAGCACTAGGATTGGAGGTCGCTTTTGATCACGATCAACCGGAGGTGACTTTGCGACGACTTCAATAGACGGAAGCTGAATAGGAACACTTCAGAAATAAGTAGAGTTAAAACTATCACTCATGGCTTACTGTTGATGCAATAAAACGAATTGTAAGAATCAAGCTCAGAGGTATGCTATCTTTATATTAGGTAAAAAAGCAGTACACTATTCACTTGAGCAATGTATGCTGCAATAATAACTAACACTCACGAGGACAATCTGAATATAAGGAAATATGTTCAACCTCAGAAAGGAAAAATCAATCAACATCATGGAAATCATACAGAAAACCCTCAATCACAAATGCACTAGGCACACACACACACACACACACACACATATATATATATATAAAGAAAACTAAAGACGCTTACCAAAAAGGCAACAGTTTTTCCTGTGCCTGTTTTAGCCTTGGCTAGGACATCCTTACCTGAAAATAATAACTAATTGGAGTAAGTACCATCAACATAAATAAACTCCAGAATAAATATACAAAAATGTCAGCTGAGGCAGCTAAAAGTTGCTTTTTTGGTTAGCATTCTATTTTGGTATAGCCAAGCAGTCCGAATACTGATCCTTCATGCTTAGTGCTTCAGTTAAGATTATTTCATGGCCAAAGCTTAAAAACGAACCTCGGAGAATTACTGGAAGAGTTGCCTCCTGCACAATAGTCATTTTCTCATATCCAGCAGCCTTGACTCCTTTCAATGATAAAGGCGAGATTGAACATTGATCAAATCTGCGACATAATATTCCAAACATGAGATGTAGGGTATAAACACATAGAATGCGGCATGAGCCAGGAAGGATCTAGCATACAATGAAGCCACAGAAGTAATCTAGTATAAGTAAATAGACTCAGACTGTAAGCACAAGGTTCGCTTTATTTGATCCTCTATATGATAATTAAATTCTTATCCTCCCAAAACATAGGGCTTCTAATATCTTCCCATGTTGGGACATGGTCAAATCTTTTAGAAGATTCCCATATCATGTCATACAAAATATGACGCAAAAATAGACAAGGACATGTCCATTCAAAGCTCTAAAAGTTTGCATGCAACATGCCAAATCCTTTTTAAAGATGCTATTTATGTTACAAGGGTGTCCAGGCATGGCCTTTGTGATCTCCCCCAACCCCCAAAAAAATTATTAATAACCAGAAAGTAAGTTTGGCGCCGCTCCATAAATATATCAGCCGCTGTTCACTCCTTTGTTCAATATATGCACTAATCTTAAACAGCGGTGCATCAGCATGTTTTGAATATCATTCTCTCCTTAAACAACTGCACTACTAATATTCCCAAACCTCCAAATATTCGAACATGATTCATCAGTAACCTGTCAGCCCAATGTACGCAATTTTTTACCACTTGACAATATTATTTAGCCATTATCTAAACAAGAAGAGGAATAACTCAGATACTATAAACTGCAAATCATAGAGAATGCGCCAAGCATTGAAGAAGGCAGACTAGTCCGACCCAACAAAAGATGCTGCATAACATACTTGGTCTCACTTAAATAATTGTCAGATCTCTCAGGAGAACCTCTTGTTGGACTGCTCTTCTTCAGCTCCTTTTCCCGACCCAGCTGAAAATCTGAAGTCTTCTTCGGTAAATCATCATCATCATATTCATCTGCAGTATCTTCAGCGTCACTATCTTCACTAATAAGATCTCCAAAGCGTCCCATGAAATTCTTTGCCCCCTGTTCATCTTCGTCAGCATCATCCTCACTCATTGAATACGATTTTCTCTTTCCATCCCTTCTGCCTCTTCGCAACTCCTCACCACTTCTCTTCCCCAAGAGAGACTTCGCATTCCGACCTTCGGACACTCTACCGGGTCTCCAAGAGCGGAATTCAGTTTCCTCCTTGTCGTCTTCGTCTTCAAATCTCCGGTTCATACGAGAATTTCGAGATAATGACTCAAATGTATCACGAGTTCTCCTCCGAGTTGATTCACCAAATCTGCTCGACCCAATCTCCCTGCTCCCTTTCATCGACAAAGATGCTCTACTCCTCCCTCCAGTGCGACCCGTCTCCCTATCCGAGTCATCCTCTTCGCTGGTGAGTCGACCTCGATAAGAATCGGTCTTCAAATCGTCAACCCAGTCACTGAGTTCACCCTCATCCTCAATCAAGCTCTTAGACACCCTGATTCTTTCTGTATCCCTATTCCCCCGGTTGAACTCGGACCTCGCCCCAGCCCTCCCAGGAAACGACCGGGTCGAAAATCGCCGTATGCCAAGTAGTTCGTTCCGTACAGCACGAGATTCCAGGCCCAGGTACTTGAGCCTGAAGGGGAAGATACGAGAGAAAATGGGGACCGCTCGAGACGTTGGAACGGAGACTCCAAGCTTCATGGAGGGCAGACGAGCGAAGGAAGAAACTTGGATAAGATGGAGGTGCGATAAGAGTTTTGTGGGCATAGCAATGCTAACAATTTTGTTTAGTATAGTGTGGTTCCTTGGAACTCGTGGTCACCGGCGACAGTGGTGCGAAGGAGAAGGAAGGGAGAAATAGCTGAAGTGAACCTCAGCCGGATGGTTTACGAGAGCGGACCTGAAGGAAGAAATGGCTGGACTCCGGAGTTTAGGGTTTAAGAGTGGTTTTGCTTCTTTTTTTTTTTTTTCTTTTTCCCACCATTTTGCCATTTCAGTCCGCGCCAAGCTGTGCGTTTAATGCCCAGTAAGCAGCTGATCCAGCTATGCCCGGGCACATCTGCAAGGAGGTACTATTTTGGCGTTTGCCATTTCACCAAGTAATAGTAATAATAATAGTTTTTTTTTTGGGCAACATAATAATAATAGTAGTAATTGTTTACCATTTTTATTTCTCTATTTACTGGTAAACTTTTTATTACTCCTATTGCATTTATTTTATCATAAAAATAATAAAAAGAAAATATAAACCAATTTTGAAAAGGTGAAATAACCTCCGCCAAGATGCTCATGATGCAATTAATACCCACACTCCAAACATTACATAAGACGAAAATTCACTTGAAGATTCCTTAATCAACATGGTAAAAGTCCTAATTCGGAACAAAATGAAGAACCCTTGAGAACAAAAAGAAATATTCAAACACTAAATTAGAATATGAACCAGATAAAATTAACTTACTTTTAGTAATTTTACATTTTTTGAGATAAACATGTGAAAATAATTTCATCTCAGAGTGTAAAAATGTTTAAAATAAACTAGTCCAAACTATATGAAATTGCACGGACCAAATTATCATATTTCTAGTTTAGTTTGTACTGAAGCTATGGGGACGACCTACCCAATAAAAGAAAAGGAAGAAGAGGCGTGATGGACCTGACAGCCGTGTGTTGTTGGGGCTTGTTGGGGCCTCTACGGATTTGAAAATGAATACATATCATCGTGGGCAGTCTGCAGAAGCCCAATATGTATAATATTGATTGATGTTTGATTTTCTGAATCACCCAATTTAACGAAGTTATATGATGTTTAGCAACCTCCAAACTATAGTTTCAGAAGCATTTTTTCATAAAATGAAACAAACTCCTCCACATATTTACTTCGTAAACCGTAAAAATACTTCTGAAACTATAATTTGATTTTTATCCAAACACTTCCTAAATTTGGATTTCTGTTCCCGTTTGATTTTGCCAAAGCAACAAAAACAGTGATGTATTAACAAGAGTTAGTTCAGATGACAAGAAATCGGTTCATAATTCATAAAACCATGAGTTCACATTCTGTCATCGATTGTCAGTGGATCATTAAGAAAAACAAAACGATGGCTAGATAAAATGATGGGACGGAAGGAAGACATGAAGTAGCCTTTATGATACCTGACACACCGTGTGGCAGCAAGCCAGCAACCGACAATTTGATTGTCAAAGGATCCTTTACGAAGCTGTGGCCAAATTCTAAGGGAAAAAAACTATGCGACTGTGAGCATTAGAAGCACGGTTGTGTCTAAGAGTTCTACAGGACTTTAAGGGAAAATTACTGCCTCCTGTATTAAATATAAGAGCTGGTGCTACCTCCGATTCTTGATATAAAAATTAGTTTGACTTTTAATTTGGTTCTAAATATATGATTCGAATATATTTTTCTTCAATATTTATTAATTTTGCCATTGAGTAGTTCTTATAATAACTGTATATGTTAAAAAGTCGCTATCAATGGATAATCCAAGCACATGATTAACAAGAGTATTTTAAATAAGACAACACATATTTAATATAAATAACTTATTTAACTAACTTATTTAATCTTTTTAAATTAGTTAACTAAATTTTATATTAAAAATCAGAAGTGGTATTAATTATTAATGGAGCTCAGTGCAATGTCACTCACCAACCGGTTGTTCTCTCTGCTCTCCTATGTTGGTTGTTTTTTTGGGAAGGGCTTTGAGTCCGCCTCGTGAGGTTCGGTGCTGTGAGCTTGCTGTCGTGTTTTCCTGGGAAGCCCCACGGACACTTAAAAATAAGAAAAATGACAACAACGAAAAATTAAAAATTTGCAAATTTTAGATAAGCAATGTCAACACCAAATAAAGTATTGTCATCATACTTGATTTAGGATTTAATAATTTCCAGCCTCCTTTTTTGTTATTCTCTCTAAAAAATATTACTTTTGATCTTTAATATAAGAGCTAGTTGACTAATTTGAGTTGATTAAATATCTTTGTTAAATTAGTTATTTATAATAATTGTGTTATCTTTTTTAAAATACTCTTACTAATCATATGTATTAGTTATAACTATCATTGGATGAAATATTTAACATGTACAACTACTATAATGACTATTTTGAAAAAAATTAATAAATATAAGAGATAAGAATTTGAGTCTTACATATGACCAAATTAAAAATCAAACTAGTTCTTATATTAAGAACCAAAATTAATATGAAATAAAACTGTCTTATATACTTATCTTATAGTACAGTGTAAAATTATTTTAAATATGCTAATTCGCATATCATGTGCTGATAGATGCCCATTATCTATTTTATCATTTCATCTTTCTAATGAAGTTGTCTTGATATTATAAAAAGAAAAGCTCACCAATGTTTATATTATTTTTCTAATTTCCTGAATTGGAAATCCATTTATCGAAACTAGTATATAATTTCCTGCTTGACATTTAAGTTTAAGAGAGAACAATAGCAAACACTACTTTAAATACTTTTCCAGTCCTAAATATAAGATCTTTTTACGGTATAAATTACACTACAAAAAAAATTATATATTTAGAAGCGACAGAGTATTAGTTTGGAGATTCTAATTAGCTTGCAATCTCATTTTTCATTGAATGCTTATTGGTTATTTTAGGTGAACTGGGTTTTGGTTCTCAAACCTCGAATTTCCTAGTGCAGATCAAAGGTTATTTGCCATTTTTAATAATTGAGATGTCCGAGCTGGCACTTGAGCATCTAAAGTCTACGATTTCTTTTTCATTTCCAGAAATACTTCTCTTGTCCTTAATATAGGACCCAATTCTTGAGTTGGTTTTTGTCCTAAATATAAGACCCATTTCTCATATTTTTCAATTTTTTCTAAATTACCCCTATGGATACTCCCCCAACCATAATCAAGTAGAAAAGGGAGAGAGGATATTAAGAAAGATGACTATGGTGTTTTAGGAAAAATGTGTCACTTTTCATATAATTAACTAATTTACCTAACTTCCTTAATCTAATCAAATTAGTTAAATGAGTCTTATATTAAGGACCGGATGAGTAACATAACTTAGGGGTTCGTTTGACACCATACAAGAAGTTATGGCTGGAGCTGTTTGTGCCTCGTTTCGTTTTTCCCACACAAATGGAGACATTACCAACAAAAAATCAGAAGGCGATGCAATTTGAAATTGATGCATTGTGGTCCTTCCAATAATTCCTCTTTGGCACTTATCATCAAATTCCCCCCCCCCCCCCCCCCAAAAAAAATAATTACTCTGCCAAATCAGCTCGCCTCTGCGCTATCTCAGCCTGTCGAAATTCTTCACTTCAAGTTTTGTGAGTGTATATGGCACACTCGCAAACAAATATTTAAATAAAAAAAAACTAATCATTGTTTAGTTAGATGACTGTGCCCTTAGATTTGAAACTAACATCTATCTTATTAAGAATGTTAAGGTTAAAACCCTCATGACAAGTATGATTTCAAAAATTTGAATTTATGTTCTTCTTCTTATGATGGTACTCCTTCTATCCCTAATTGTAAGATCCTATTTTTTGAATAGACCTGTCTCTTTTTATAGTGTCTTTTTTGAGTTTGTCTGAACATTAAATACATTGTTACCTATTTTACCCCTAATAAATTTCATATATTACATTATCTCTCGATTTATCTCATTATTACTCTTTTATATTTATTAGGGATATATTTGAAAAAAATTATATTTATTACATATTAATTGCTTTTAACTAATTTTAACTGTTTTCTTAAAAGGCGTAATTTGGCTAAAAGGTTTTTATAATTAAGGACGGAGTAGTAATTCACTTATTATCTCAACTAATAAATAGCTTGATCTTTTATTTAAATTTGGGAAAAAAAGGGACATTTTGTATATCATCTTACAGTAACAACAACAATAAGATAAAGTAATTAATAAGATTAGGTATAATAAAAGAACTCAGCCTTTCACAATGTAACGAATCAATATTCGAATGTGCTCATATTTAATGCCTGATAATATCTTGAATATGATATCCTCCAATAGGAGGATACCTATTTATATTAAAAAAAAAAAAAGAGGAGGTAAAGTCATGTTCATAATCCATTGTCTAGATATTTTCCACAAGTCGCACAATATTAGCGCATACTGGCTTTAAATTAAAAGTCATTCACAATGTTGCATAAAATCAAATTTAATTTTGTCCAAGTTATCTAGAGAACTCTGGAGCATTTCTCCAAATTAACAACTATTTTAATTTCTTTCGTGGCTTATAAGTGGCTCAACATCGTTAGGTGGAATACAAGCTATTAAAGCTATGGCTGCTATTTACTTTCTGAATGAGATTTTATCCCGGCACATGGATTTAAAGTCATTTCGATCACATTTGGCAATCCTCTAATCTATAATATGCTTTTTTTTCCACCTTGATGGTGATATACAAGGGAAAGGCGTGACTAGAATTTAGTCAAGCCTAACATACGTTAAAAGTTATGGCGGCAGACCATTTCAAGCCACACATGGTTTGACGGATGACATAAAGGAACACCCCTTCCAAATCTGACTCTATATAAGAATTTATTTGATTTTTATTTTGATTCTAAATATAAAATTTTAATATATTTTATCTCTCATATTTATCTATTCTTTTCTAAGATAATTCTTATAACAATGATAGTTATAGTCAATACACTTGATTAGTAAGGGTTTTTTTAGGAAAAATAATACCTAATTATTACAAATAACTAATTCAACAAACTTTCTTAATCTACTCAAATTAGTTAACTAATTCTTATATTAATAACTAGGCTACAAAATCAATCATATCATACATGCCACGCTTGAACAATGGTGATTTCATTTGAAAATATAAGATTTTGGCATCCCAATTCTTAAAATGATGAACGGAGGTTGAATTACATAAGGTCAAATTTATCTTACCTAGAAA